GGGGGGGGGGTTGTGCAAGGTGGCCTGTGAGGCTCGTCCAGAGACCTCCGGACCCTGTGACCCCGCCTGCAGAGGCCCTGACCCTGACCAAGGAGGCTGGCTTAGGACCATGGGGTGGACAGGGGCTGGAGCACCTGGCCCCATCTGCTGTCCGGACCCCAGGAAGTTGGCAGGGCCGGGGCCTAGGTCCTCCCTTCCTGGTCTCTGCCTTCCCAGGTGACCTGCCACCACGTTCCTGAATGCTGCCCCTCCCACTCCTGTTGTCCCAGAACCTGGGCCCCCATCGTGCAGAGTGATGCTGGGTATTCGACTCCCCCAGCTTTGCCTTCTGATGTCACACACGACCTTCACCCCCTCCGGGGTGGGCCGGCACACCTGCCCCTGGGCCAGAAGCTGACGCTCGGGCTCAGTGGACAGACACTGGACAGTGGGCTGCAGCCAGGCCGCCCACCCTCACAGAGACCCGCAAAGCCCTGTGTGGGCCTGCTCCCCTTCCACCGCCAGGCCTGGCGCCCGGGACCACCCTGGTCCTGCACAGGCGTCATCTGTGCGGGTGCTGGCAACTGGGCCCCAGGAGCCAGCATTTCAGGTGAGGGGCCAGACCCCCTCCCACCTGGAGCCAGCCACCTCTTCTGCTGGCAGAAGCACCCAGCATGGCCCAGGTGATGGGACAGGTTCCTGCAGTCAGCGCCGTGGCCAAGTCCCTGGGTGAGCCCCCACGATTCTTCTAGGCTCTCCTTCACCTCTGACAGGTGCCACAGTGCCAGTGGGAGCGGTGGGAGGAGCCTTACTGCCAGAAGGCTATGCCTGCAATTCCAAGGTCTGCCGCCAGAGGGCATCAGGTCAAGTATGTCTTTTTTTAAGATTTTATTTTACTTGATTTTATTTTTACATTTTTAATGTTTGTATATTTTTGATTGAGAGAGAGAGAACACGAGCAGGAGAGAGGCACAGAGAGAGGGAGACACAGAATCCGAAGCAGGCTCCAGGCTCCGAGCTGTCATCACAGAGCCCAACGTGGGGCTCGAACCCACAAACCGTGAGATCATCACCTGAGCTGAAGTTGGATGCTTAACCAGCCGAGGCCCCCCCCCAGGCGCCCCAAGATTTTTTTTTTTTTTTAATTTTTTTTTTCAACGTTTTTATTTATTTATGGGACAGACAGAGACAGAGCATGAACGGGGGAGGGGCAGAGAGAGAGGGAGACACAGAATCGGAAACAGGCTCCAGGCTCCGAGCCATCAGCCCAGAGCCCAACGCGGGGCTCGAACTCACGGACCGTGAGATCGTGACCTGGCTGAAGTCGGACGCTCAACCGACTGCGCCACCCAGGCGCCCCAAGATTTTATTTTTTAACTAATATCTACATGCGACGTGAGGCTCCAACCTACAACCTGAGATCACTAGTCGCACGCTCCACTGACCGAGCCAGCCAGGCGCCGCAAGGGTGAGGTGGCCTTACAGAGACGCCCCCTCACCTCCTGTGCTGCCTTTCTCCCTGCTCTCCAGCGGCCATCCATCTGGAGCCTGGGGGTTTTCCCCTGGCCCCAAGGAGGAAACCACTCTCCTGCCCGCCCAAAGCCCAGAAGGTGTGAGCCCCTGAGCCGCCTGACCCTCTAGGTGAAGTGTTTTGTGCCCAACTCCTGCTGTGACAAGTGCATGTCCCACATTGCCTGCTCCCGGCCTCTCTCCCCACTGTGGAGTCACCCCCAACCTATGGAGGCAGGAACTGAGTCCCTGGAGGGCCAGCCTGCTGTGACCATGGTCAAGTACTAGCTTCTCACTGAGAACCCCCCTCACTGACAGGTGCATACTATGTCCATTTTACAAAAAAGGGAAACTGAGGCCCAGAGCTGGGCTATGAACCCAGCTGGTTGCTGTGTGGCCCTGAAAAAGCTCTTTCCCTCTCTGGGCTTCAGTTTCCTTATCTGTACAGGGCAGTCGTAAGGTCTCCTCCACCCCAGCAGGCCGCAGTGTTAGGCCTGAAGCCTCGGCGGTGCTGGCCTCCAGTCCCTTGCTCCCCAAAGGGCATTGGATGGGGGTGCGGGCAGGGGCCCCTCCCCTGGCAGCTGCCCTTCCTAACTTCCTGTTTACAGCAGCCGCAGAATCTCTTCACCCCAAAGCCACGATGATCACCATGGCAACCAGG